TCCTTTTTTTCACCCATAGAGACAAAAGTACCATCAACAGCAACTTTGTAAGGACACGCACCCACAAAACCATACGTGAAAAGCGTTTGTTTTTTTTTAAAAGATGTGTTTGTATGTGAGCACCCGCCGTGTCAGCCGTGCGCCACCAAAGCCAGATCTCGCCCCCGGCTGTTTACAGCTCCGTGTGAACGCGCCCCGTGTCCAGGACTCCCGCTGCAAGCGGAGGATCGTTACGGGCATCACGGGGGAGTCCTGAGGATTAATTATTTGCTGTCGCCGCAGCGCTGTGATGCTGCGAGACGCTGAGCGCTGGCAGGGCCTGGCTGTGGCTCGGAAAAGCAGACGGCCCCGCAGCACGGAGGGCAGTGACCTCCCGTGGTCCGGCCCTGCTGCCCGGAGGACGCTGGGGAGCCCTCAGGTTCTGGGACTAAGCAGAGGTAGCCCAGCAGAACTGGTTCAGTGCTGTGGGGTGGGTTGGTTGGGTTTTTTTAATTTTCCCCAAAGGGGAAAAGGAATTTGTGAAGAAAAGGGCTTATGGTCGCAGTGGTCTGCAGCGTGGCTAGCACAGGGGGCTTCGGCTGTCCTGGTGGGGCGGCTCTGGGGTGCCAGGGGCAGTTTCTAAATGAGTACAATCAGAAATATCAAATCAAAAGGAAACAAGCTCGGAGCAGCCGTTCTCTTTTAAAACAGGAGCTTTACATGCCCTCTACTACTAGACTGTGATACTAGAGTGTAACACCCCATAACACCGCTACGGACCGTGCCAGCTCTCGCAGAGCCGTGGGGAGACCAGGGTGGTGGTTGGTGAAAAGCTGGAGCGAACACGGTGCCTCCCCCGTGCCGCCCTGCAGCACCTCACGGGCTGACCAATGGACGCTCGCTTGACCACGCAGAGTTCAGGGCCGCGACGCTTTTTGCTGCTGGCCCTCCAGGAGCTCCCCCAAATTCGGCGACGGGCTGAGGCCCCGGCGGCTTTGCAGAGGAGCTGGGGGTGTTGCGGGTGGTATCACGGAGGGGCGGGGGGTGAGGGGTTGGGCACGGCCAGGGGACGGGAGCAGGTGACCCCGAGAAGAGCCTGGGATGCTTTCTGTCCCAGTCCGCAGTCGGGAGACCTGAACTGGTCTGCAGGAGGGCAGCTGCAGGTCTGGCCGGGCTTCAGCGGGGCGGCTGTGCGCTAGGAGAGGCTGTCGCTCACTTTGAGGTGAAAATACGCTGTTACGCTGAGTTAAGGTTATTTTTGAAAGAATCTGAAACTCGGATGTGGCAAATGGTTATCTTAAGCCTTTTGGGTTTGCATTAGCGACCCCCCCGGAGCACAGCGGGGTGTCTGCGCTGCTGACAACTCGTCTGTCCCCAGGCGTGTCCTGCTGTAACCGCGGGGTTTCCACGGCGTAGGAGCAGCTCCGTAATCGCGTAGAACGACTACGGGGTGGGCACAGCTCTGGGCTCGTGCCGTCCGCGCAGCACGCGGGTGTTTAAATCGGCTCTTTGTTTCCACAGAGACTTGAGGTTGGTGTCGATAGGCGGTGGCACAGATGAGACCATGCTCTCCATCATATGCAAGTACATGGAAATGCTGCCAGGCAAGTGACGTGCCCCCGCTCT